ATTAATTTGCGTTTTGGTATTGGTTCAACTGGGGCCAAAGAGAAAGTATGCATATTAATGAAAATGGCAATGTCTCCACATAGACATGACTGACCCACTCAGGCGTTGCAGATTTTGCAATATTTTCTGATTGCACAAGAAATAAGGAGTTGGACAATGTCTGGGCTGAAGCCCAGACATTCCTTAAAGCCTTTCTTAAGTTCGCTTTGTCAAGCAAATCAACCAGAAGTGGCAACATGGGAGTGCGTTACCACCTGACATCCAGGGTGCCGCAAGTAGCTTCCCCATCCTCACCACTGGCCTCATGACATGTGGCCTAATAAAAGCAAACTTCTCCCTCTGCCACATCAAAGCAGGGTCGACCTGCTGTGGCCCTGATCCTTCGCCAGCTTCCCTGTATCATTTTCAAACACAGTCACTCAGGGAAATTTAATAAGAGATGGACAGCTAATGTCTCCCACCTAGACTCCAGTCAGTCAGCAAACCAGCCAATCAGCCAGGCAGCCGGGTCTGCTGTGAAACCAGACCTCTGCTTTGTATCATGGAGCCAGACATCGGACAGGCTGTGCAATGGCTGCATAACATGCGTGGCTCAACCAAAGGAGGCTATTAAAGACAAAAATAAAAAATAAAAAAAACGCTGTCTGTTGGTGAATCATATCAGCAGTAGTGAAATCCACGCTCAGTGTGTAGCTAGAGTGAGTAAAGCAGGCATTTCCTAATAAAAGCCCAAATAAATAAACACAGCAGAACAAGAGTCAAACAAAGTCTCACTGATAAAGCGGTTGAGAATGACAAGGTTAAGGAATCCTAATTAGATTAAAAATTACATGAAGCATGAAAGAGTTCTGTTGACTGATTCCTTTCCCAGTCTTAACTCCCAAAATTTGGTCATGTGTGATGTGAGATCCAAGAAACTGAAAGATCAAACTCACAGGAGTACACAGTTTAATGCAGAGAGCAGAAATCAGCCAAACTAGGACGGGAAAGCTTTGTTTTTGGTGCGTTCTAGTTTATTGAATGTGACATGTTTACTGCTTCTTCGGTTCTGAAACAATGGTCTATTATCACTATCATGTGGAGCTGGACTACTCATGTGGCACCGTTATATTGTTGTGGAGTCAACCTGATAACTCATCCTTAACATGAACGTAGTCAGGCACACATGGAATACATAAGACGGGGCTTTGAATAAAAGCTGAAATTTCATCCTGTAAAAATACGGACGCTCTACTAAGCAGTTAAAAGCAAGACGTGTTACTGTAGCTTTAGGGAAAATAAGAAAAAGAAGAGCTTTCGTCTAGGTGACCTTAAATTGAAGGCTGCCTCAAGCCTGGTGTTACATTTAGTTTCCCGCGCAAACTATCAGCCACTGAGATTTATAGAAACAAGACTCCACTTACATATCGACAAATAATAGTATGAAATATGCTCACAGGTCATTAATTCATCATTCCACAGATTGCTGTTGTACAGTTATCATGCACATGTGCCCAGCTGTGTTACAGCTGATGGTTTACATGTGGTTTCATAAACCTTAAATTTGAATTTTTCTACATTGGTTTCATGGACACAGGTGAAAACCTCCTGTTGTCTGGATCTAATTTTTCATTTGCAGTGGACCAGGTTCCTTTGAAGCCCCATATACATATTGTGTTTTTTCAGGGAGCCACTTATATAATGACTTAAAAATGTGTCTTAGAAACCAGAAAAGACCTCTCTCCATCCATGTATTACTCCACTATTTTAACATTTATATTGAGCAATATTATTCTAGATTTTATTGCTGGGAAACTCATTTAGGTTCAGACTACTTGTCTTCAAGCCACTTACTTAATTTGACTACTTCTATCAGTAGTCAAATTAAACTTACAGCAAGAGTGAGAAGAGGAACCAAACGGTTAAGATTCATGAAAAATAAATCTCAAAAAGCTTAGATCATGATGTGTGGCTTTGAAAACAAAGGATTATGGGTTGGGAATGTGAGTTGCTAAATAGGATTATGCACTTTGCAGATTGTGAGAAGCCGACTGCAATGACCATCACTTTTTTTGTGTCCCCTGGAAACAACTCCATTGTTGTCTGTGATACTTACATTTGTCTATGTGGCTGTGTTGTGTGTATCTGCAGCGCATGTGTTGTCAAATTATTTTCTTAATTTAGTTGTGTTTTGTTTATTTGTATGTGTTTTCTCAAGCTGCAGTGTGTTGACTTCTCTCAGCCACCGTTAAATTAGCTATTTCTGATGGTATGAAATGTTTGACTTTTTTAAGTTAGTTTACATATTTATTGTTACATCACACACTGAAATGTATGTCACTGAAAAGCAGAATCTGTTCTACTTCTACTACTCTACTCTCTTCTAATTTTCCTTTGAGCTTCACTGCAAAATGCCAGATCTTAGATAAGTCACCTTGGTGCAAATGCATGCCCCTGTGCACGTGAGCAATCAAACGTGCGCCCGCATGCGTGTGTGTGCTCAGTCTTGACAGTTGTTATAGTAGAGTAAAATAAATCAAATGATATCGACCTCAGTAGTTCAGTCCAGCTAATATTTCACCTCTGAGTTGGAAACACATGGATTGACAAGCAGTGATGGAATGAGTGTCAGATTAGAGTTTGGAGTTACGCAACAACATCCACCAAGCCAGCGAGGTACAATACAGTACCAGCCGTGAATAATGGCTTCAGTTTGGATTCATTAGACAAGAATTATTATATAGAAATATGACAAACTATATCCAGTGAGCCCGTTTTGAAACACAATTGGCCATTTGTTTTTTCCTTTGGTGGTTTCAGACAGCGCTCATTTTCATTTGCTGCCTGAAGTGTTTTGTTATCTGGCTTATTTTCTTATTCTTGGACTCTGCTGGGGAGATGGCAGGCTTGGATACTGGCTAGCAGCTTGTGGTCTGGTATTAGAGCTAAAACCTCCCAAAGTGCAGTGGGTTGAAGTCAGCCACCTGCTAGCGCTAATTGCCCAGTCTTATTCAGTGGAGAGGCCCTTCATTCCTGCGAGAACTAGGAGGAAAACAGGGAATGGAATGCAAATTGTTGAAAGTCAGTGTTAAATGTCTGAGGGATGAATGGAAGGAGTCACCCAGGTCAACACATTAGGTGAACTTTAATAAGCACAGCTAGTTCAAGAGCTCAGTCCTCCTGTTTGTGAGAGATGGAGAGAGAAAGAGCCCACACATACATAGTAGATATATTTCATGTTGTGACTATCTGCAGCTTAGAAAACACCTTAAGGGCAGGGTTATAGTATACTGATGTCTGGCTACATCAGAAAACAAAGGTGTTTATACCTGCATACCTACAGTGTGAAAAGTCAGCCTTCATAGAGAAGGGGGAGGGGGAGATGTAATATCATTTAAAAATGGGGATAGCGGGTCGCATTTTCAGACAATCTCTCTCGCAAGGCGTTCATACTGTTGTACTCAGTTGTAAACATTTAAATGTGACAGAAATGGTGTAACGAATGAAACCAGAGCGCTAGAGAGATCAAAGCGAGTGTACTTTCTCACCTCCACATAGTTGGCCCAATCACGCCATGAAGTGGGTGTGAATGCTGGATTGTCAGTTTCAGAAAGTTACAGAAATGGTCAGACACAGACATCAACAAGTCGTTCTGAATATATCGGCCCCTGAAAGGTTAAGTCTTCTGATATTCTATATTCTTCAAATCCCATTAATAGACCAAAACCAACAATTACTTGAACATACTAACATACCAAGTACTGCCTGCGTAGCTAAGGCATGAAATATCTTAATCCTCTTTGCTATAGAGCTCAATTGTTGCCCAAAAAGTATTAACATGACTTCACAGCCACGCTAGCATCGCTGTCAGGCTGTGAACTCTGGGCTACATACTAATGTCATCATGCGTCTTAAAGAAAGTTTTTGTAATCTTGATCATTAGCATACTAACGATTGCTTATTATCAGTAAACAAAGTACAGCTGAGGCTGATGGTAATGCCATTAGTTTTGCATCAGTGCGATTACACATCATACTGAAGGAAACATGAATGTCTGAACCATATTTTAATGACAATCCATCAATTAACTGTCACCCAAAACTGTCTGTACAAAATTTCAATACAATCCATCTAATAGTTGTTGAGATATTGAGACTGACTGGCTGACATTGCCATCTACAGAGCTGTGTATATACAGTACTCTATAGTATAGAGTCTATACTATGAAGAGTGCACAAAATCCAAGGCTGAAAATAGTCTCCAACTAATGCACTATTTACTCTTGTTTAAAAAACGTTTTCTAAAAACTACAGTGCCCAGCTGTGTCAGGAAATTATTCAGCCTTTAAAAAAACATAAAACTATATATTTGTGATTCGCTTTTATAGATTTACATCTGTAGTGAGTGAACATGTAGGCTTGGGGCTGAGAGCAACAGACAGGTTGTGAATGTCTGTATTGAGAGATGGACTGACTTTTCATAGGATTTCAACAACACCAAAATATCGCTGTGAAATATCAATCCTATACACTAGATAACAAACATTACACAGCAACAGTTTTTGAACCACCACCAGTGTAAAAATGTGACACTAAATGAGAACTGCAAATATCATACATGGTATTATATATAATATTATATAGAACAAATATTTTAAATGGTAAATGGACTGCCTTTATATAGCACTTTTTCAGTCTTAACGACCACTCAAAGCACTTTACGCTTCAGGGCACATTCACCCATTCACACACAGCATTTGTTCTATACACGGTGCTTCTCTAATACACAGTCACACACCGAAGTTCAGGGGCAATTTGGGGTTCAGTGTCTCTGCCCATGTGGACTGGAGGAGTTGGGGATCAAACCACGGATCTTCTGATGCATGGATGACCTGCTCTGCCTCCTGAGCTACAGCATATTTATTTTCTTCCCTCAAATTTGTCATAATACTTTTTCCATTGTTACATAAAACTTTCATTAGTGGCGAACATTTGTGCACTGGATGTGTGTTCATATATTACCTGGGCGATGTTCTTGTTCAGTAAGTAGACCCCATATTCAAAATGAAACCGCTCTCCTCTCGGGTACAAGGGGAATCTGTGAGAGAAAGGAGAAAAAGAAAAATTTGGAATTAAACAGGAACTGGTGATTTACTCCATGTGATCCTTCCCCAACAGAGTCTGAAAACAAAGGTGTTAAGAGCTTCCAAACAAACACTCACAAGCCAACAGTCAATTCTACCACAGCATTATATCCACACTGCATATGATAATATACTACAGGTCCATCCGTGTGAAAAAGTCAATAAAGCAATGTGGAATTGTTTGTTCATTTTACTTTGAGGGATTTAAACAACCATTACTCGATGGCTCTGCAACAGGCAGTGAATTCTTCCCGTTATTGAAAGTACTCGTTCATGTAGCCACTGGCATTAACAGTGGGTAGCACTTGCAGATGCTTGAAGAAGCCGAGTCTGGGTCTATGATCCCAACCCACGGACGCCACCTCCGTAGCTTGTTAAACTGAAATATCAAACAGGGCAGAGGCGTCCAAACAGCCTGTCCATCCGCCTCTCAGCAGGAACAAAGAGAACTTTTCCTTTCAGCGTGGTGGGAAAGTCCCACTGGTGCCAGTCAGATGTCCTAGTTGGGACTACACAGAGTGCTCATGAAGGATAGGGGGAAGATAGCCCTGGGTGTTAGGGTAGGGTATGCTGACATCCAGAGTGGGAAAATTCTCTCTGTTACCAGGAACTTAAGGCTGGACTCATCCCTTCCTGTCATTATGTGCTTATGTTTGCTGATCTCCCACTGAGGAGGATACAGTATATTGGGAAAGTAGCTCCACAGACTGAGCAGGGCTTTGGTCTGACAAAACACACACACACACACACACACACACACACACACACACACACACACACACTTGTGTCAACTGGTTATCTAGACGCATATCTTAGCCCTATCTTAACTCCATCTCTAAGTACTTCACCTTAACCTTCAGAGTGACCTAAACATAATACCACTCTTAACCTGTCACTCAAACGCTGGAATAGTGCTTTTAAAAAAGTGGGAGGAAAAATGTCTTATTTTCAGAGGTGTTTCCCTACTTATTTCTGCACATGAAGTTCACATCTGGTCGTTGTAAGAGCAAAAATCCAACATCAAACATGTGAGATGTTACCAAGGTAACATACACACACTGTAAGACACAGCATCCACGCAGTAAGTCAAATAAACAGCTGGTACTTTTTTGTTGCAACGGTTGTTTATGTCAAACGGAAACAAAGGGCGAGGAAATGTTATTGTAAAGATAAGCCTTTCCATCTGAAATCTAACTAATAAAGCATGTGTCACTGTTGACATCAAAACAACAGCACAGAATTGTGTTTGGAGCAACACCTTGATGCATCTGTGTTACAGTAAGTTCCAAAAATTATTTTTTTTAAAAATTAAAAAAATTAAAAAATGCACCATCTCTTTTTAATGAGCTGCCTGTGTTTCACGAAACAGCATTTTCATTTGCTACTGTAATTAGGTTTGTAAAAAAAAAAAGAAAAAAAGAAAGGGTCTTTTGTTCAGCTGCTTTATCATAAAGACATAAAGACATGTTTGGAAGGACTAAAGAGACTCTTCAATGGGAGTTTCAGAACAAATTCTAATATGAGACACAATCACATCCATAATAATACAAAAAAGCAATATCCTAAGTGACCAATACATAAGTATGAGATAAATTTGTAGTTGTAAATCAACCTTTGTAACCCTGTAAAATAAATACACAGCCCATTAAATGTTCATTATTTTCTACAGCATCATCAAATGTAATCAAAACCACCTGGGTCACAGAAGAGCACGCAGCACCGTCCATCTTGAAACTCTACTACACTTTTCAGGACCACCTACCCTGTGATTTGACTCTGCTTAGTGATTGGATTGCCATTGTCCAATCAGATTCAGGTGTAAAAACAGGGCCAAAATTCGTACCTGTAACTTCAGCGTCACAAACAGAGTGGGAACTTTAAGCACTAAGTTCTATGTGTCGTTTTTTTTTTTTATGTTCACAAAAGGAAATCTTTAACCTTGCGATGCAGTTGGATTTCTCTGGCGCATCAGGTTAAATCTTTTCTACACATGTACAAACTTGAATTTTTTCATGCAGATTTACTTTACAGGTTTGCAAAGGTTGATTTACAACTACAACCTTTGGAACTGTTCGTGAACATCACTTTACAAGCTCAAAATCTTATTGACCCATATATGACCAATTCAATAAGACAGGTGCCTCTGTTTTTATATGACGGTGCTGCCAGGAGCTGATGTGTATACAATACAGTATGTGCAGACATGTGTCGAATGCTTTACACATGTGTGTGTGTGTGTGTGTGTGTGTGTGTGTGTGTGTATACATGGGTATACTGGTGAGTATGTGCATCTGGCATGCTTCCTTCCTGTGTGTGTGTGTGTGTGTGTGTGTGTGTGTGTGTGTGTGTGTGTGTGTGTGTGTGTGTGTGTCCTGGGGACTGGGTCATGGTCTTAATCCTGTGTGGGGCTCTTCATCCCCTCTTACTATGACCTATGGGTGCCTGAGGCAATGAGAGAATACAGCAGGAAATACACATCCTCAGTGCTGGCACTTCACTTGACTCCATCGTCAGCTGAGATCATGTTAACAGCGCAATAACCCTGCAGGTTAACGTACTGATTAGTTGTGCTTGTGGCTTACTGAAGGCCAGATTTGACTCAGATCCTGATGCTCTTAGAGAAAAAACCTTTAATACTTACATTTAATCATTTCAGCTGTAAAAGCATTTGCCTTGATAGCATGAACTTATTACTGACATGAGATTTAACTTTAATATAAGGTCTCTATGTCTTTTATTTGGCTTTAATCTATTTCTTGCAAGGTTAGTTTGTCCGACTTATATCTGAGCCTGTCTGCCGATTTCAGACAAAAAAAATCTGACCTGGTGCTCACTGTAAACACCTCCTCACTCACACATTACACTGCAACTCTGAAGTAAACTCTTAGCAGATGGAGACCATTCTAACCCTAGAATGAATTCGAACAGGATGCTGTTGCAAATGCTGGCAAGCAAAAAGTGAGACGCTGTGCCCTGAGGGCCACACAGCCAGCCGCATGTTGGCCCTCCATATCCCTGACATGCAGCCGGGGCCCCATGGAGAAAGCGACATGCCAGAGGTCATATCTCAGCACTAGGAAATAACTAACAGAGAGAGGAAGAACAACACAACAAGCATTCCCCTCGCACCGCTGGCATTCCCAATATCACTTCCCCACAAAAAGATAGGATTTGTTTGCTGATGAACACGTATGAAAAGGAAAACAGAGCCACTTCCAACACACACACACAAACACACACAGGCTCCGTCACAGTGAAGTGATTAATGACTGCTGTCCACTGTGTCTGAAATCACACTGGAGAGACTCCGGTTCACCAAACACCAGGAATTCCTCCCGGGGATGTCCAGTAAAGTCAAATATATTATTTCACAGCAGTAGGGAGGAGGAGGGAGGAGGAGGGAGGAAGTCTGATGACGGAGGGGAGAAACAAGGTGCCAAAGGAGTATGTGAATTACTTAGGGGCATTTTATTATTCTATATATTATCTAATCTGCCCAGGTCTACCCCACTGAGATTAAGGAACTTTCAAAGGAGACCATACCAAGACAGAATCTAAATAAGCATATAGGGGTAAATATGCAGAAAAGCATAGTCAGAATAAAGCATAGAGTACTTTTAAAGTTACTTTTCTTTCTTTTTCAGTTTTCACCTTAATCATCTCTAGGGACTTTGGGGACAAATAGCCATTGCTATCATTTCTGCTTCAGCAGTAGAAATGCAAGTGGTATGTGTATGGGAGAGACATAAGGAAGCAGAATAAGGGGAGACAGAACGCCATCTTTAATCACTCAGCCAGCGGCAGCGGCATAAACTGAAGCAGCCCTCTGCACTAAACAGGATGAAATAAATTACAGTCCTGAAGGAATTTGCAGGCCTAAATCAGTACCCGGTCAGTCCATCAAGATGGATTGTCCAGAATAAACAGACACAAAACAGAGAGATTCACACACAGCTATGAGATGTACTGTTTGTGGCACTAATTGTACTTTCCCACCGGATCGAAACAATTTGTTATTGTGTTGTTTGTAAATGAGGTCATGCTAACTTCACCTCTTGCACCTCGTGCACAATATTGTTGGGTCTTTGGTTTAATTTTGTTGTACATTTAAATCAAATCAAATCATTTCTATCTCAGCAGTCCTCCGCAGATTTCCTCACTCTCCTTAATCAAGCCGTTTCCTCCGTCAGCACATCCCTCTCCTGCTCCCCTCAGTGGCAGCTCTGTTGAAGGGTCATGTCTGCGAAACTAACACAGCAAACCGAATATGACAGGCACCGTAATCAACACACCAACTCACTTTAGTGTCCATTTAAAAGAATGATTACTGAAACACGAGGGCTGCTTTCATTTAGCTAATATTCAACTCTGCATGCACTGGACAAAAAGATGAAAAAGAAATGACAGTGAGTTAAGAGCAGAAGTAAATCTGTCACTTTTTTTTTTCTCTGTCATATAAAAATAAATCACCCTTCTCTTTTCTTTATGTTACACACACAGGATAGTTAACGTACAAGTGCTGGCTCTGTCTTTAGACATAGAAATATGTAATTAATAAGTGTGGAGCCATGAAACCATAAAAAGACAAAAGCTATATCTCACAGGAAAGTCCCCTGTCTTTATGAGTGAGAACATGTACACCCCCGGCCTGCCAGCTCTTTAACTGCAGGGTCTAGACACCCATTCTCCACACAGACAACCTTCAAATATAAAGGAGGGACTCTTGTTAAAAGGAGGAAACAACCATTAAACATACAGCTACAATAATGAGATCAAGCAACAGTTCATCGCACTGTCTTCCTGTCCAAATCTTTTAAAAATCGCTCCTGGCCCTGTCTTTTGCCCTGTAGAGGGATCTTGTAATAGCAGGCTGAGTTATATTTCTTTCATCTCCAGGAGATCCACCACCACCACCGTCTGCACTGTCTCCTCCGACTGCACCCCGGGGGCCTCC